ATATATATATATACATATTTGTTCTCATCACAATTATTTACCTGCTTTTTCTTGGATGTGCTTTTTCTTGGATCACAAAATTGCAGCATCTAGCATTCAAAAGTTTGGGGTCAGTGAGATTTAATGTTCATTTTATTTATATTTATATTTATATTCAGCATTAAATTAATCAAAAGTGAGAGTAAAGACATTTATAATGTTGCAAAAGATTTCTATTTCAAGTAAATGCTGCTATAGTTCATCAAATAATCATAAACAATAAAATGTATCACAGTTTCCATTAAATTATTAAGCAGCACAATTGTTTTCAACATTTATAATAATAAGAAATGTTTCTTGTGGAGCAAATCCACATTAGAAGGATTTCTGAAGGTGACGCTGAAGACTGGAGTAATGACTGCTGAAAATGCAGCTTTGCATCACAGGAATAAGTTGCATCTATAAATATATTCAAATAGAAAAGAGTTATTTTAATTTTAATAATATTTCATATATGTTTTTACTGTGTTTTGAGCAATTAAATGCAGCTTTGGTGAGCATAAGATACTTCTTTCAAAAACATTTAAAAAATCTTAGCGACCCCAATCTTTTGAATGGTGGTGTACAAAATGAGTTTGCATCAGTCTGTCAAAAAATGTGATATGTGCCCTTTGTGATCAATATGGGGTGCTGTGTGTACATTAATGAGGGAAAAAAATTAACTTAAATGATTTTAGCAAATGGCTGCAATATAACAAAGAGTGAAAATTTTAAGGACAATTTAAGAACATTTTAATTTTAAATGTTTCACTCTTTGTTATATTGCAGCCATTTGCTAAAATCATTTAAGTTAATTTTTTTTATGTTATTAATTTCTCATTAATGTACACACAGCACCCCATATTGACAGAAAAACACAGAATTGTTGACATTTTTGCAGATTTATTCAAAAAGAAAAACTGAACTATCACATGGTCCTAAGTATTCAGACCCTTTGCTGTGACACTCATATATTTAACTCAGGTGCTGTCCATTTCTTCTGATCATCCTTGAGATGGTTCTACACCTTCATTTGACACTGTATATATATATATACTCGCCACAGCCAGTTTTTACATGCATTTGGCATTTGTCGAGTGTTAATTCTGGAACCTGTCTGACACATAAACACTCTGTTCAGTGTCCAGACTCAGAGGCACAGAAGACACTATACACACTGTAATAAACACACTCAGACATGATAAATGCAAATGTATTAAGAGAAACACACACACACACACACACACACACACACAGAGAGAGAGATTCCCCTAGACACAGTGATGGCTGTTGAAAACTTCACTCTGTCTCTAGTGTAGAATGAATGACACTCTGATGGAGAGTTTCATCATAATGAGCCTTCATTAATTCTGCATTGCTGCTGGTCTCTTTGCTCTATGGACAGCAGCCAGCGCAAGCACTTACACCACTCATACCCTCGGGGACACACAAACACACACACACACTCATTTTGCATTCTGTCCTGTCCTGTTTTAATGGATTTTTGATGTAAAGATCGCTTTAAATGGACAGACTTCATCTTAAAAATTATTTTCTGAAACTTAAGCCTCTCTGGTTTTTAAGCCTTTTGGCAGCTGTTAACAAAGCACATAAAAACAAATTAAACACTAAAGCATTTAGCTTCATTGGAAATGCATGAGAACTATACGTGCCCAATGAGATTTTAGCTTTAAAAATATGGTAATCTTAAGAACTGACCTATTAGCCAGCAGTTTTAAAAATTTTACATTTTAAAATTCACAAGACTCAATCATGTCCACGGGGCTGGTTAAGCCTTCTCTGGTCCAGGGCAAAGGCACCTCTCCTAAGTGTGTGATATTATGAATCATACTAGAGCTCATGCATATTGATTAGGTCAGCCTCTCATTTCTTGGTAACCTCCTAGCGCAACCCAGTAATGTGACCTAAGTAATATTCATGAGCTAGGTCTTTACCATATTAGGATCAGACTTGCCCAAAGGTTTTCCCATGACCAAAAAGTTTTACCAATAAAAGCACAGCAAACTTAACAATGATAAACAAGCTGCTCACAGAAGTGTGATAGTGGTCAAAGTGAATACCATAGTGAGTCCATGAATGGATTTTTGTGATTTTTTCACACAAAAATGAAAATTCTATCATTTTTGACTATCCCTTTTAAGCATGAACAATAATCAAATTTGAGATTGCATCTAAATCTACAACACTCTTAAAAATAAAAATTCCAAAAGGTGGTTTTCACAGCAGTGCCATAGAAGAACCATGTTTGAAGTGTTGTGTTGTGATTTATAAATAGATACCACTAGATAGGTCAATAAAGAATCTTTATTTTTAAGAGTGTACAATCACTATAACAACCAAAAGTCAAGCAAAGATCTCAATCAGTTCTTACCACAATCAAACAGGCTTTGACATCCACCGTTACCAATTATTTTCAATGGAAAGTAGTAAAGCCTGCTTTAAAAGTTGCTCAATTATGTCATATGCTAATTAGCATATTCATGACACTATTGCATTTGTATTCTGCCTTCTGTCAACCTTTTACATTTTGCCTTTCTACTACTCTCTAAGCTCACATTCTGTACTTTAATACAGCCAAATTCCCAATAAAACTATTTTCATTTATATATTTTTCTGTTTCTGTTGTCAGACAACAGGATGAATATGAAATAGTGACTGAAAAATTGCCCATTAAGACTACATAACCAGCTCTCCCTTCCAAGCTGTTAATCTGCACTAAAATCCTGATTTATAATCGAGACTTCATCAAAATCAAATGCACATAAAGACAATGAATATGCTGTTTTTCAGCTGTATTTACAATTTAAAATTATCACTCAGATTAGAAGCAACAGAATATATCTACAGTATATCAGCAGACGCAGAGAGAAGACCTTGCGTGGCAGTACCGACGAGTTTGTCCAAGAAGTCATTCGATTTGTTTCTAGCTGCTTTTTTGGGGGGGGGGAAATCCCTAAAGTGGTCTGAAAAAAAGCAAAATCTAGCAACTAAGTTGGCAACACTGTTGACATAACATCAAGAAGTTCAGTGTGTTTTGATTTATTAAAGTTCTCAGGCTGTTTAATAGCTCCAACTTTAAAAAAAAAAGTTCAATTCCTGTGGCATTTGAGACCGGTGAAGCTGAGATCATTGCATCTGCAGAGTCTTTTTTTTTAACTGAAAGCTAGACCAAAATGTGTGATTTTCCGAATCCAAATAACTATTTTCAATGTGATTTCCTGATCCTGTGATCCCTCTGTGGTCAGTGTCCTGGGCTGCAACCCATGTCGCTGATTTGATTAACACAGCGCTGGCAGAGCTACAAAGCTGCTCTGAGGACAGCAGTTTGAGACCTGATTTGGCAGTGAATGAGATGGTGGTTTGTGATTTGTGCTGGCAGGTGGTGAAGGAGAGACTGCTGGACCTGCTGAACAGAGAGGAGGAGGAAGAGAGTCATGGAGAGGATGTGGTAAAAAACATAAATAACTGCCTGCAACATAAATAATCATTTATTTAGATATCACGAACCCAGTGCGTGGAATGACTGTGCTGTGCCTCAGGCACGCAGTTTTAAGAACATCTGTGTTTTTTCTCAGAGTACCTGTGATCCGGTGGTAAACCACTCGGAATCGCTCAGCCACACGGTCAGTGTTCCCCTCCAGACCACCCTGGGCACCCTAGAGGAGATTGCCTGCTGAGCACCGTAACCCCTCCACACCAACAGGGGGGGCTGGGCCACTCCACTCCAATGGGTGGAGGACAGAGTAAAACGAGGGAAAAGTCTCTATTGCTTTTTCTCAACGTCATCATTTGGCACAAACATGAGAACTAGAAGCCAAGGAGCTTCTCGAGGAACATGAGGACCCCAAAGTTTCTCACAAACACCATCTGTTTGTTCTGGACTCATGAAGGAAAGCAGAAGCTTGTGGACCTGTCGGGACAGTCACTTGTAAAAATAAGACAAACATGAACATGTGAGGAACTGCAGATGCGCACAGCCTCTCTCTTTCTCTCTCTGCCCAGACGCCATTTTGAAGTCTACTGCCAAAACACTGTAAATTATTAACAGAGAAAACATTGTGAAACTGTTCTAACTGTGCATGTGTCAGTTTCATGCGTTACAATACGGTTTTCTCGAACCTGTCATCCCCTCTCACGTGTGGAGACAGTTTTGTCTTCTTGTGCTGTTTGTTTGCTATGTGTTTCTGCATCTCAATTGGTTTCTTGATGTATCAGGGATGCATCATAAAAATGAGAGCCCCTTTCTTCTATCCTTTTTATTTTTCTATCCTTCATAGAAAAGTCGAATGGGTCACGGTACAATGGCAGCCATTATGAGCCCATTGTGGCTTCGAATGGCTCTTCTACATGCTTTCTGGATCCCATTTGAAAAATGAAGAACAAAGAGAGTACAGAAAATAAGTGTTTTTGTCGCTTTCTGCATAAGAATATAGTGATACAACTAGCGGTTTTCATTTTGTTACATGTGAGAGGTGTTAATTTGTCATTTAATGCTGATATTAGAAAGCTGATACATTGAGATTTTTTTGACAGCAATCATAATTCCGCTTTCCCAACTATTGTAAGTGGGATATTTTCAAACATATAAAGGATTTAGAGGAGTTCATGGTAGTTTATTATGCGTGTTGTCGCTCTACTATTGTCTATGTCTCATCTCCTCATTTTAGAGCACTTCATCTATGCTGGGGTTAATTAATGCTGTAATTGTCATATGTTAGCTGATATTTACTATGTTCCCACAGTGCTCTTTGATGATGGATTATAGACCGTTCAAAGGTGTGATTATGTTCTTTTCTGCTCTCAAACTAAATGTGAGGTTCTCGTATCACTATACATCAGCAGTGGCAGCTCGTGGGTTTTAAAATAGAGGCGGCACACTAATTGTATTGGTCTGGGATCCCTGCCGATTATTATTATTATTATTATTATTATTTGCTTAACCACTTTAAAATGGCTTTTTGGTTGCTTTTAGTTAGAAAACGTAAAGAAAAC